CTCTATCCTTGGGCAAATGCTGCCCTTTGGGTCTCATAGGGTTGATTATTGTAAGGAGTGTGTACCTCCCCAGTGTTATTGTTCCCCGTATAGACCTGTCTATTGCTTGGCTGAAAACTGAGCCATGAAGGTGAGTTCATTTTCCGACCTGATGAGTGAGTAGGGCCATAGTCTAGACTCTAGAGACTCTTCCAGTTTTTGTCTGAACCAGTAAGCCTGGTCTATTTTGTGATTTTGAGTTATGGTCTACATTTCCCCCCTTCTCCCCCTCTCCCCAACTCTATTCAGGACCTTCTAATATGATCCCTTTCAGAGCAGTTGGTAGTGGTAGCCAGATACCATATAGTTCTGGTCTCAGAGTCATGGAAACCAATGCTCATGTGACCCATTAGTCCATTGGACTGTTTCCTGCTCCTTCCTTTTCCTTCTCTTTTCTTTCCTCTCGACAGGGAGAGATCAATAGTTGCAATTTAAATAGCCACTTATGAGCTTTTAAGACCCTGATGACTATTCAACAAAGTAGGATGAAGAACATTGTCTTTGTGCACTATGTTATGACAACTGACCTAGGTGTCTGTCAAGACTCTGGTCCTTACCACCCAGCCTCAGCAACTCATTCCGTCATACACATAGCCAAGGCCAGAGTCATTAGTTATCTATTGCTGTGTTACTAATTAATCCTAAATTTGTTGTTGTTAAGGGCCATCTAGTTGTTCGGATTCCTAGGATCCTGTATAGTGTTTCTGATGCCGTAAATCTTTGTGGGAGAAGAAAGCCTCATCATTCTCCCTTGGAGCAACTGGTAGACTCCATCTTCCAACCTAGTGGTTCGCAGTCCAGTGCTTATCCTACAGAGCTATCATGCTTCCCAATCTCAAGTTTGTTGTTGTTAAGTGCTGTCAACTTGGTTCTGACTCATAGCCATCCTGTGTAGGGTTTCTAAGGAGTGGCTGGTGACCTTGAACCGCCGACCTTAAGGTTCAAACCAACCTTGTAGTCCAGCGCATTAGCCATCAGTTTAGCAGCTTGAAATAACCTACAATTAATGTGGGGCAGAAATCTAGGAATGGTTTAGCTAGGTCCTCTGCTTCAGTCTTACACAAGGATGCAATGAAGTTGTGGGTAAGGCCTACAGACTCATCCAAAGATTCGACTGGGAAGGATCTGCTTCCAAGTTTGTCACTGACTAACTGCTGGCAAACATTTTGTTCCTCAAGGAACTATTTGATAGAAGGCTTCAGTCCCTCACTGGTTGTTGCCACATGGGCCTCTCTATAAGCATAGCAAAGCTCAGAGTTAGGAGTCCTGGTGGCAATGTGGGATAAGTATTGGGTCAGTGTGGGAGGGGACTTCCTATAACCAACAGCGTGGTTATAGCAAGAAGAATTACAAGAAATATCTATACATATTTGCAAACATATCACCACAGCCTGACTTTTTCTTAGCCTCTTGGTGTCTGAGCATAAATAATTTTCATTCCTTAAATAAGTAGTAAGGACTGCTGGTGTGGCACTGTAGGATGAACACTGGATTGTTAACTACAAGGTCAGAGGTTCAAACCTACCATCTGCTCCTGGGAAACCCTGTACAGGGTTGCTATGAGTCAGAACAGACTCGATAATACTTAGTAACAACAACAACTGGGAACATGTTGGAAATGAAATCAGACAGAGATCATATTCCTATCCTTAAGGGGTTTACAGTTTTCAAGAGATGGATAAAAGGATTAATTCAACAATTACGTCTATAATTATTTGTTTAAAGTTGGGATATGTGATAATAAAGGAAAGTGTATATAAAAGAGGAATATAATTTGGTCTAAATTAGTCAAAGAAACTTTCCTTGAGGCTGTGGCAGTTAACTTGAAGAGGTAAACAGGGAAAAAAAATCAGGGAGGAAGAGGAAAGTTCCAGACAAAGGAAGAGGTATCTTAAAGGGGAACTGGAGAAGTAGTCAACAACTATTGGATAAGCACATATTTACAATCAAATTAAATCCTCTTACGTGATAATGGCATTGCAGGTTATGGCTTTAAAAACAGCTCCCTTAGAGATACATGCTAAAATATTTATGGATGGAATTAGGTGATGTCTGGAATTCAGTTCAAAATAATCCAGTAGTAAGAGTTTGGGGAGGGCAGGAGTGAGTGGGACTATAAATTAAACAAAATTTTACAAATTAGATGGTGGGTACACAGGGCTCACTATATTAGTCTCTCCACTTTTGTATATGTTTGACATTTTTCATAATAAAATGGTTTTAAAAATTATAGGCTGACAATAAACCCTGAAGGCTACGCGTTTGAGAGGTCACAGCGCATTTATCTCCTCCTACTCCAATTCCAGACAGTGGAGGTTAAAATATCTTTTGGGAAAGGGAATGGAACGAGTTTTATGTTCTAGAAAATGTAAAGGTTTCTCAGCTCCAGATCATGTGGCTAACATAAGGTGGGGTATCTGGACAATTTTCCTTGCCTCCTGGCTAAAGTGCTATATTGCATGATTTCTCATGCTCATTTTTCACTCTCTTAGATGGTTCTATTTCATACATGTACATGTAGTGAAGTCTTATAACATGGTTCACCCTAGAGTAAAAACCAGCTGAAGGATTTTGTTTTAATATTAGTTACTGAAATACTGGAAGGCTTCTGTTATTAGACAGCCTATTATCTGGACATTAGTAAAGTAAGTTTATGATTTGAGGAAAGAGAAAAATAGGGCGGGACAGATGGGAAACCGCCCCTACCTTTGAAAATGTCTTGATTGGTTTACTGCAGCAATAATGGATTTCTTGGATTAAATTTTCTTTTCCTTTTACTCATGTTATGCTGACATGGGTCAGACTAAAATTAACAACTGGGAAGATAGATTTTATGAGTCAGGAGTGTGCTTTAGGATTTTGGGGGAGGCAGGAGGAATGGGAGCTGGGGTTAATGAGACAATGTTTTATGTTTACAAATTTTAGGTGATTTGAAGGAACTATCTTTTGTGGTTCTGATTTAAGCATTTCTTGAAAATACTTTAGTCATCAAATTGAATTTCTCCCCAATATCTAATAGATGAAGATTTCACTAGAGTTAGATATATGCAAATTACATTTCTTTTCTCAAGCCAAGGTTAAATAAAAGAGAAAATTAGGAAAGATTGCTTACAGCAGCAAGGATTTTCAGGGCTTGAAGATGAATTTGGTTATTTCAAAACCAAGATGACTCTCCTGTCAGTGCAAAGCAGGAAAAGAATAAAGTGATGGAGAAAGTAGACCTGGGCAGAAACATGTTTTCACACAGAATTTATGCTGAAAGGGCTTTGTTGTTGTTCCCTGAACCTTGGTAATTACAGACATTTTCCTCTGTTCTGAAAAACATTTGGCAAATAACGAGAGGGGTTCCCCCGCCCCTTTCCTGTGTTCAATATTGGGTTCTGGCCTTGTTGCAGGGAAACACTAATTCCCAACAGTGCTCCCTGGGAGCAAATGGTTTGTTTTCTCTTCACTGAATCCAGCCTGGGGTTGGTTCTCAGCAGCGGTGCCTGGCATGGAAAATCTATTTGGAGCAACTTGTCCCCAGGAGGGAAGAACACAAGTAGACTGTGGGGGGGAGCTGCAGCCACCAGCCATGCCAGTCACACCCGCTGACCAAGACAGGCTTTAACACACAAAGACACAGTCAAAGGCAAACGAGTCCTGCGTGTGTGTCCATACAAACATGTATACCACATGCACAACTATATTCACATACACCACATACACATTGGACACATATTTACCACACTGCTACACACACACCATATACACATCACCACACACTCTACATAGAGGCATACCTAACTGCATGTAGCGTACACATGCGTACATACCATATAAATCATGTACACCACACAACCACACATACACACATTAGTCACATGTACCATGCCACATACATATGCCACATACACCCCACCTGCACCACGCACACTACATACACCATGCACACATCTAACAACACATCAAACTACAGACACATCCCTATCACAAATACTCTATGTAATAATCATATACCCACATATCCATCACACGTGCACTCACAAACTACACACATGAAACTTTGCATGCACACACACACACACACACACACACACACACACGCCATGGCACCCAGCTCGGTTGCTCTCCCACTTAGCAAGAAGGGGCTCCAGTCTCCGCCAAAGGTGGGGCAGGTGGACTCAGGAAAGGCCTGCGGAGCAGTAATTACTATGGGGTGCGAGCGCCTGAGGCTGCCGTTTCTGGCGGGGTTGGAGGATGCTAGGCGGCGTTTGCCCCTAACGTGCTCTAAAGTGGCAGTGCTCAGAGCTAGAGGCAGGCCCTGGGGGGAGTGCGCGCATGTGTGAGCGTGTGCGCGCCTCCGAGGGGTCTCTGTGTCCAGACACTGGGCAGCGTGTACAAGGAAAATGTGAGATGCATGTGTGAGAGGCTGTGTGTGAAAAAGATGCTCAGAGATGCGCATGGACCAGCCCCCTGAGAGGCTCGGGTGGGCGTGTACTCGGCGAGCACAGCCTTCCGTGGAGTGTGTGCCAGTCCACGAGACGACCTCGCTCAGAGGGAAGTGTGTGTGGGAAGTGTGCGTATAAGCTGATGTACGTGTGAATACCAAGTCGCCGAGACGGGTGTATATTCCTAACGGCCCTCCAGCGCGGTCTGTCTCTGAGGAATGTGTGAGGAGTGTGTGGGAGAGACTCGCTGTGACGGGAGGGGACGACTGCGCTCCTCTGCACGGTGTGTGTAAAGAAGAAACCGCCTGGCCAAGGGACGCGTGGCGTCTGCCGGGGCGCCTGGCGCGCGCGTGTGCGCGTGCGTGTGCGCGAGGGGGCGCGGCGCGCGGCGCGGCGGAGGAAAAGAGGGAGGGGAGGTGGCGGCAGGCCCAGCCCCCGGTCGCAGCTCCCGGGGCGGCTCCTCAGCTAGCCTGGGACCATCGCGCTCCCGGCCCGCGCCGCGCCCTCCGCGTCTGCAGCCGGTTCGGCTTCCTGCCCACCCAAACGCCGCTTCTCCCGGGCTACGGGTCTCGGCTCCGCACAGAGGGAGAGGAAATGAGTGCGGCGGCAGCGCCGGCGCCCGAGCGGGGTTGGAAGAGCGAGAAAGTGGACGAGGCTCAGGCCCTGGCGCGGAGTTGTGCAGCCCGCAGACCCGACTTCCAGCCGTGCGACGGGCTCTCCATCTGTGCCACGCATAGCCATGGCAAGTGCTTCAAGCTGCACTGGTGCTGTCACCTAGGATGGTGTCACTGTAAGTCGAGCGGCGTCTCCCTGCCTTGCGCCGTGGTCCCGGGGACGCCTCGGGACTGTCCGGGGTCGCGGCTGGGACTCCGCGGGGCGGGTCTGCGGCAGACTGGGGCCGTCTGGTCTCCGCGCGAGCGGGACGCCTCGGGTTAGCACTGCCTGGCAACGAGGTGAAATGCCGTGGGGAGTCTAGCTTTAGCCAGTTTTACAAAAGGGAATTTCCCAGTTCCGGTCCCAGGAAACTGGAGTCTTTTTCTCACCCTCCTCCTCCCTTTTTTTTTTTTAATGGAAACGACTACTAGACACGGTGGTGAGGAATGGTAGAAAACCGTGAGTTGTTGACAGCGGACAGGAATCCTTCTTTCAGGACGAATGATTAAAGATGCTCCTTTTCGGTCTCACTTTGTCTTTCTGGGCCACTCTTTAAAAGAGGGAGCCTTTGGAAATCGAATTGTGGCCCGATTATTGTATCCAAATAGAGAAAACGCTGAAGTAAGATGGATTGCTTCCAAAAAGTTAATATGTTTAACAGTTTGGGAGGGTAGTTACCTTAAACACTTAGTTGCAGCGTTTCGAGCCAATAAGAGTTTAAGGGACTTTTAAAATTACAAAATAAAGAAAAGACAAACTTAGTTTTTTAAACCAATTTGTAAAAGTCACAACTACATGGTCTAGGTCTTTTCACTGTGTTCCTACTGCCTGTGGTTTTTAAGTGGATTAAACATAAATACCGTTCAATCAGAATTCCACAGTTTGATTAGTTCATAGTATTTGGCCTGCTATAAACCTGATGAATCATTTCTTTTAGAAATAAATATACTGTAAACTTAGTTTCCACATAATCTTATAATAGAAATTTGATATGCTTACTGAGGACACAAATCTTTGAAGTGATCTTAAGTTTAAAATAATTTTTTTTTCTTAGTTGGTTAGAAAAAAATGGCTCCCAGCCAGAGATGCAGTGCATAAAATCTTTATTTATAGTAATTGAACATAATTGGATATTTTAATTGAATTTATGAATGAAAAGTTGAGAATTTTTACATTTTCTTTAAAAATTTAAGGCACATGGAACAGTATTGATTTTTTTTGTGTGCGTGCATGGCTATTATCTGCTGACGGGTCGTTTTCTTCTTATTCCTCTTTATTCCTCTTGCTCTCAGATCCGATCCCAATTAGGAAACGTTGCTTAAGTGGGGGACAGGGACCAAGTTGAAAGTAGCAACTGTAGAAAACCTGGGTTGCTGAAATACACCAGATAAATCTGATGAGAATTATTTCCTGAGGAAGTATAGAATCCTAGCATAAATGTGAGGTGCCTTAAAAATGATCTAGTTCAGTGTCTGCCTTATTTTAGCAGTATCCACACTAAGTACACTAGTACTGATAAGAACTTGAGTCTTCTCAGGCAACTTTATCCATTATTAGATTGCTATGACTCTTAAAATACTGTTCCTTATATGGAACTGAAATTGACTACTTTCCAATTTTGTTTTACTAGACCTACTTCAGCCTTATATCATATAGAACATTCAAATCCATTTTGAGATCATGGTTGTATCAACATTTCAGATATACATGAGAGCTTTTTGTGGATATGGATGATCTTCTCTCTGTATCACCAGCCACTGTCATAATATCTGGCCCAAAATAGGTGTGAAATTCGTGTGTGTTGAATGATTGGATGAAGATAATAACCTTTATCTTCCTCCCCAGGCCTCATTTTATCATGTTCAACAATCGTTATTTCCTTCTACCTTTCCTTTTATGAAATAGTATCAAGACTCCCCAGCATCCTTGTCCTTCTGTTTTAAACATGTGCCAATTTGGTTATGATCCTCTGAAGTCTGCAGTTCCTGGAAAAGGTACACAGTATTTCAGTTGTGGTTTGATCAACTGAGAGTCTAACAGAATCTCTGCCTCCAATGTTTGAGATACTACTTTTGCTGCAGCTCGTATTGCATTAGTTTCTGATACCCATATCACATCATACTGATATTGCTGCAGTTAGATTTTAGTAAATTTGTTGTCAACTAAAACCATTCAACTATTTTTTTTTTTAACATACGAAGCAACTAAGCCACAACTTTCCCACCTCACAGTTCTGTATATCTAAACATCTATAGAACTATGTATGGTGGCTTGGTGGCATAGGGTTAAGTGCTCAACTGCTAACCAAAGATTGGTGGTTCAAACTCACTCCAATGGCTCCATGGAAAAACCACCTGGCTGTCTGCTCATGTAAAGCTTATAGCCAAGAAATCCCTGTGGAGCAGTTCTCTGTAACATTGAAGTGTGGCTATCAGTCAGAATTGACTCAGTGGTACCTTGGAACATCATCCATCCATCCATCCATTGGACATAGGTACTAAGCACGAAGATTTTTTTTTCTTCTCTGTTTTGTCTTATGTCATTAGAATTAACCCATTTTTTTCTGGTTTATAATATTTTTAGATTCTGGCATATATATATATATATATGTATTAGTTATTCCCCCTAGGTGCATGTGAGCCACATAGTGGATGCTAACAGTACTGTAGTAACCTTCTACATCATCATGCCATTGATAAAAATGGTTCAACAGAAGGCCATCAAGTCCTGAAGTTTGCTGGTAACACTGCCTTTTAGAGGATAGCAATTTGTCATTGAGCACTTGTTATTTTTGGTTGTTCAAACAATTATTTTAGCTACCTAACTGCACTATTGTTGTTGTTGTTGTTGTTAAGTGCCGTCGAGTCGGTTCCGACCCATAGCGACCCTGTACAGGGTTTCCGAGGGTGTAAATCTTTACGGGAGTAGAAAGCCTCATCTTTCTCCCGCGGAGCGACTGGTAGTTTCGAACCGCCGACCTTAAGGTTCGCAGCCCGATTCGTAACCACTACGCTACCAGAGCCCATCTTTTTAGTTGTCGTTGTTGTTACGTGTTATCAAGTGTGTTCTGACTCTTAGCAACCCTATATAAGATTTCCAAGGAGTGGATGGTGATTTTAAACCACCAACCTTGTGGTTAACAGTCCAGTGCTTATCCTACAGTATCATACCAGGAATACATCTTATATTTATCTTGTCCATGTGGGTTTAATGAAAACCTGGTCAAATATCTTGTTGAAATTCTACTGACACTTTCTGCTATTTTTTGATCTGTGATCTGTGTACACATACACTCTCTCTCAAAAAAAATCTGAATTTAGTAAAGGATCAACATCAAGTACACTGGACTGCTGTTGGCAGTTTTTTTCCTTTTTTTAAAAAAATATCAGACTGTGTTTATTTTCTTTTTCTAGTCTTTGACAACCCTCCAAGTCTTTATACTTCCTCCACTGGCAGCAATTCAGTGATCCCATGCACAAGCTTGAATTCATTTAGAGCAGCAAGGTACTCTGTTAGTTTCCTCACCAATGAAAACCATCACTTATTTATTTACATTTTTGGCCCAAATTTTTCTTGAAAAGAGGAGTGTAGTATACTTGAGATGTTCTGCATGTTTCTTGCATTCATGAAGATTACACCACCAATCCTAAATAGAATTCCTTCAGTTTGGTTGAATATGTACTAAGCAGCTTCTTTCTGTGAGTCATTGTTCTGGAAAGTAGGAATACAGCTCTGAATACTGCCCTGTGAGCATAGCCTCAGGGACGATCCATGCCATATTTATTTTTGTATTCATTTAAAATCACAAGTGATATGGGTGAGAAAACTATCAACTTGCTCACCAAATCTGAAAAGGTTAAAATAGGGGCTTTTTACCTTGATGCTTAAAAGAGGTAAATTCAGAACAAAGTAAGGAAGTTCAGGTTCATACGGTTGATTGTAAACTATGGCATTTATAACTTTATGAAATAGAAAAGGCTGAAAAATATCTATGTTCATAAAAGACATATAAAGTATGCATGCATTCATAGGTGCAGTCCTAAAGAGAATTCATATATTTGGGAATGTCAGGTTTTTATTTTTCCCACTCAACAATTTTTAAATGCCTGGAATTCAGTGACTTTGATTATATTCTTTATGTATTCAACTATTATAACTGTTTTTCAAATTATCCCACTATTCAGTGCTCCCTAAGTAAAAGCTACCCCTTCCTTCTCCCTTTCATTTTCAATTGTTGTTGTTGTTAAGTGCCAGGACTGCATAATAATTTTGCTTTTTATATATTTGTTTGCTTGGTTTTTTTTGGTATATATCTATTTATTTCATGTAAGTGAAATCATATCGTATTTTGTCCTTTTGTAACTGCCTTTTGGCGCTGTTGCACGGGCACTTGACCAAAAGGTCGGTTTGAACCTTAAAGTTGGTGGTTCAAACTCACCAGCCCCTCCTTGGAAACCCTATCCAGGGGCACTATGATTTAGAATTGACTCAATGGCACTTAAGAACAACAACAACAACAACAAATGTTTTCATTACAGTCCTGGTGTGGCATTACTTTAGATGTTAAGCACAGGACTTCTAACCACAAAATCAGAAGTTAAAACCCACCTGTCACTCATCAGAAACCCCATTCAGGGTCATGATGAGTTGGAAACGATTTGATGGCATTTCACAGCAACAACATTTTCATGGTTCATCTGTGTTGTGGCATGTGTCAAGACTTTCTCTTTGTTTGTTGTTGTTGTTACGTGCTGTCAAGTCAGCTCTGACTCATAGCAACACTGTATAGGGTTTTTGAGGAGCAGCTATTGAGTTTGAACCACTGATCTTGTGGTTCAAACTGACCTTGTGGTCCAGTGCTTATCCTACAGTACCACATCAGGACTCTTTCTGGCTGAGTAATATTCCATTGCATGTACATGGATGTTCAGTTGAGTCCGTTGTGACTCATAGTGATATGGCATAGGGTTTCTGAGACGGTTGGTGGGAGCAGAAAATTTCATTTTCTCCCGTATTTCCTGTGTACATAGCACTGTTTTATCCATTCATCTGTTGATGGACATTATATTTGTTTTCACAGCTCGTGGCATTTTTATTTATTTTTTTTGTAATGCTTTATTGTGAATTTTGTGATAG